TCAGAGCCCGACGCGGGGCTCGAACTCACAGACCGCGAGATCATGACCTGGCTGAAGTCGGACGCTTAACCGACTGCGCCACCCAGGCGCCCCTATGCTCTTTCTTTGAAATCATTGGATTCTTAAAGTGGTATATGAGATCTTAAAAATGTAGTAAACCAAAATGTTTATGATACAGGCAAATAGTGGAGAAAAATTATAGTTTTAAAGCTTTATAGACATTCAAGGAAGATCTAATATGAATGATCCAAGATTCTGGTCTAAGAATTTATAAGAAGAGCAAAGTAAACCAAAGTAAACAGAAGTAAAGAAATAGTAGAGATAAGAGCAGAAATCAACAAATTAAAAAACAGACAAAATAAGCAAAGCGCTAGTTATGTTAATAATTAGTTTGAAAATATAAACAAAATTAACAAAAACCTTAATCACACTGATCAAGAAGAAAAGAGAACACAAATCACCAATGGTGGAAATGAAGATGGGGTTATCACCACAGACCCTACAGACATGAAAGGATAATATGAAAATACTTATGAAATCCTTTGAACCAACAAATCTGACAATTTAGATGAACAGGCAGAATTCTTGAAAAATGCAACTTACCACAAACCACAAGAAAAAAAACAAAAACAGAAAACCTAAACAGCCTTACAACTATTTTAAAAACTGCATTTGTTACCCAAAACTTTTCCAAAAAGAAGAGCATCTGGGTAGCTCTGTCCATTAAGCATCTGACTCTTGGTTTTGGCTCAGGTCACGATCTCTCATCCATGAGACTGAGCCCCGCGTGGAGCTCTGTGCTGACAACACAGAGCCTACTTGGGATTCTCTCTCCCCCTCTCTCTCTGCCGCTATCCTGCTCACACTCTCTCACTCTCAAAAAATAAATAAACATGTAAAAAAATAATAAATAGCATCCATTTAAAACAAAACAAGAAAAACTTTCCCAAAAAGAAAATTCCAGGCCCAGGTGATTTTACCGGTGAATTCTATAAAATATTCAAGAAGAAATACCACCAGTTGTTCACAAATGTTTCAGAAAGAGAAGAAGGAATGGATCACTAGCCAGCTTGTTTTAATAGGCCAGTGTGATCCTCAGACCCTAAGTTGAGAAAGACATTGCAAGAAGAGAAAGGCATAGACCAATACCTTTCATGAAGACAAAAAACCCTTAGCAAAATAGTAGTAAGTTTAATCTAAGGCTAAATGAAAAGGATATAATGACCATATAGCATTTAACCCATGAACACAAGGTTGATTTCACATTCAAAAATATCACACAATACATAAAAATAACTCAAAATAGATCCTAGATCTGAATATAAAACCTAGAACTACAAAAGTTCTAGGAAAAAACCATAGGAAATCTTTGCAGTCTTGGGATAGGCAATGGTTACTTAAAACAGAACACAAAAAGCATGAAAAAAAAGAAAAAAAAATTGATGAATCACACCTAATAGAAATTCAAAACTTTTCCTCTTTGAAAGATTAATAAAAAGTCATATACTGGCAGGAAATATCCACAACACATATATAAAATAATAAACTTGTTTCAGGGCACCTGGGTGGCTCAGTCAGTTAAGCAACCAACTCTTGATTTCAGCTCAGGTCATGATCTCATGGTTCATGGGATTGAGCCCTGCATCGGGCTCTGCGCTGACAGTGCAAAGCCTGCTTGGGATTCTCTGTCTCCGCCCCTCCTCTGTTCACTCACTCTCTCAAAATAAATAAACATAATAAAATAAAATAAAACAAAACAAAATAATGAACATACTACTTCAGAATGTATAGACTCTTACAACTAAATAGGAACAAAATTACAATTTTTATTTATTTATTTATTTATTTATTTATGAGAGAGCACGTGTGCGTGAGCGTGAACAGAGGAGGGGGCAGAGAGAGACTCTCAAGCAGGCTCTACACTAAGCGCAGAGCCCCATGCGGGGCTTGATCCCATGACCCTGGGATCATGACCTGAGCCAAAATCAAGAGTTGGACCCTCAACCAACTGAGCCACTCACACACCCCAATACAATTTTCAAAATAAGAAAAGGAGGGGCACCTGACTGGCTCAGTCATTAGAGCATTGAGACTCTTGGTCTTGGGGTCATGAGTTTAGGTCCCACATTGGGGTTAGTTTACTTAAAAAAAATAAAAGGGTATTTAAAAAATAAAACAGGAAAAGGATACTTCCCAAAAGAAGTTATATGAATGGGGGCGCCTCGGTTGAGCGTCCGACTTTGGCTCAAGTCATGATCTCATGGTTCGTGAGCTCAAGCCCTGTGTCAGGCTCTGTGCTGACAGCTCAGAACCTGGAGGCTGCTTCAGATTCTGTCTCCTTCTCTCTCTGCCCCTCCCCTGCACATGCGTGCACGCTCTCTCTCAAAATAAGTACACTTAAAAAAATAAAAAATGAGTTATGAAAAGAAACAGAGAAAACAGATAAATCATACGCTGCCTCACTTTGACTCTGAAGACACAAACTATCTCTTACAGAACTCGACACAGCAAAAAGATGTGAGGGGCGCCTGGATGGCTCAGTAGGTTAAGCATCCGACTTCAGCTCAGGTCATGATCTTGTGGTTCATGGGTTCAAGTCCCGCGTCGGGCTCTGTGCTGACAACTCAGAGCCTGGAGCCTGCTTCGGATTCTGTGTCTCCCTCTCTCTCTCTGCCCCTCCCCCACTCACACTCTATCTCCCTCCCAAAAATAAATGAACATTACAAAAAAATTTTTTTAAATATGCCAGCAACATACCATTCCTGACAACCAAAACCAAACGTCTCCAACAAGCCAGCACTTATAATACACATCCATCAGTGAGGACTTCAGTCTCAAGTCGCTGCCACCCAAAACCCCCAAGGAAACCAAATCCACCTCGCCTCATGACTGAAATGAGAAGCAGCACAGTATATTTTATAGGCATCGATCCAAGGAACTACTCAACACATAAGTACGAGAAAGCACAGTAAAGGTAGGGGAACCACTTGCCTGAAAGTATAGTTTCCGGGAACAAGGTTAGACAGACTAAGATGGGGGACTTGGCGGGGGTCTCCTCTCTGAAGGGGCCATTAATTCCCTCCCAGCGATAACTCACTATTCTCATGTCGTCTGTACTTTCTAGAAGGATTTAAAAGTGAAACCTAGAATGAAATCCAAGAACCGTACAATTTTGTAATTTACAGTCCTCATGCTTCAATTTGTTTTTGTATGAAATCGCATAATTACACAGATATCAATGGCCACGTATTATGTGCTACCAGGGGGATTTCTTCTTCTCCCTGGACTATCATCACTGTTGTTCTCCCGAATTTCCACCAGATTTGAGAGGGCTGTTTGCGCTCGGTTGTGAATCTTAAAAAAACACACTGACAGGTGCTTTGCTTTTTAAAACAACAACAACAACAACAACAACAACAAAAACAGGAGTCAAACAGATGCAGCACACTGAAATGCTGTTTCTACTCACCCCACCCTAGAACATGATACCCTTCTGATGATCTGACAGAGGTATCTGAACTGACAGATTCATAAAGAACTAAGAGACACTTATAAGTATTTTATGCGACACCTTTTACAACCCTGATCATTGAGGTGTAAATCCAAAGAAAGGAAGTACCTTATAAGAAAACTGCCCATTTCTGCTTCGAAAGAGAACAAAACGGGCCACACAGAATCACAGACATTTAGACCCGGAAGGGAGTCAGCTGCATTTAATTCAGTTAAAGAAAGAACTAGTTGGTGCGACACACAAATAATCCCAAACAGTTTCCTGTATCTGAGTCGTCCTGAATTAGAGAAATCAAAATGCAGTACATGTCCTCATGTAAATAGTTTCATCTGAAATATGCTTTTTTTTCAGGTTGTGAAGAGGGAAATGTGGATAGTGATATCTGAATAGACACAAATGATCACGTCAGTGGGAATTCTGCATATTTGCAAAATGGAACAGCATTAGCGGCTGACAAGTACTCTCCTTCCAACAACCAAGGATCTATTCTTTACAGGATCTGGTATTAGCTTTGTGATTAACTGCATACATATGCAAATACCGGTCACGCTGAGACTGATCATACTTTGTCATACACTGTCCCATATCTCGATCTATCTATACGAACGTACTGTCAAACGTAGGGGATGTTTTCCATCCACTGTCATTTGCACGAATGCCTGTAGTCACACAGGGGCCCCTTCCACGTGTAAGAGAAGGAATGGACTCTGACTGGATTAACACAACACAACCCACCCTGGACGAAGGCAACCCCTCTTGTGTGCATTAAAGTGATTTTCCTGTTGCTCATCTCATTCACTACGTCAAAAGGAGATGTGCTAACAATGGCTTTAATTCCAAATCCAATGGCTGGGCCCCGAAGAAGTTTCCACAGACAAGTGAGACACACATGAGACAAAGGCCGTGACGAGGCACCTGAAGGGCTGGGAGCTACGTGCCCCGTGAGGAAGACGCTCACGCATCCACACTGGTGTGCGAGGTCTCCCGGCCTCCACAAGGAGCACCGATAAACCTCGCGGCCCACGGGGCGGAGAGACCCTGACTTGTCCCAGATACCCATGGCTGCCGTCGATGAAAGCTGACGTCAAAGGCAGGGTGAGCGCTTGCATCTGGGGAGAAACCACTGCCGTGGGGGGTAGGTTGACTCTTCTGGCTGTATGACAGAGAAAGGGACACCGGCTGAGCCTGCTATGTATGTGTATATCATAACCCCAGTATAGCATCTGGCTTTTCGTGCAAAGTTGGTTAGGCACTAGGGTGCTCCACAGCCAGTCCGACTTCAGCTCAGGTCATGATCTCAGAGTTTGTGAGTTGGAGCCCCGTGTCGGGCTGTGTGCTGACAGCTCGGAGCCTGGAGCCTGCTTCCGATTCTGTCTCCCTCTCTCTCTCTCTCCCTCTATCTCGCTCTATCTGCTCCTCCCCCACTCACACTGTCTCTCTCTCAAAAGTCAATAAACATTAAAAAAAAATGTTTTTTTTTAAAAGTTGGTTATAAAATGTCCTGTCAAGAAGGTGTCTATCTATCCCACAGGCCTCAGCTGTGGAGAGTACTTCCTCAAGTTTTGCAACCTTCCGGTCAATTTAGGAGCTTGTCTGCAGGTTTACATTTTTGCAGGCTGAGTCCCGGCTCAGGGGACATGGTGAGAACCAGGTAATAATAACCTGGGTAATAACAACCCCGGGCTTCATCGCGGAACGTGGACAGTAGGTGCCGAAAGGGAGCAACGGAGTATGGTTCCAGCTCCTCCGACAGAGGGGAGTTTTGAGCCCCTGGGGGAATGGCCGGGAGGCAGAGCGGGCACACAGGTGGCCCACCCGGACGAGGGTACGCCTGTCTCTAATTCCCACAGATGCACTGACCCGGGGGCTGGTGGCAGCCCGAAAGCCCACTGAGCCCCTCGGGGGCTCAGCCGACTCTATCTGAAAAAGCCTTCCGCGGCAGGTAAGGCGGAGTCATGAGGAAGGGGGTGGAGGGGTGACCGGAGCAAATGCCGGACAGAGAAACCTGAGGGCAGCCTTAAATAGCAGAGTTGAGCAAGTACTGAGAATCACACAGAATGGAGAAAGGAAACCAAAAAACACACCACATAGTTGTCGCTTATTTTCTCTATAGTAGAGCCAAATGTAAAAATAAAAAATCCATTACCATTTTATTCGGGCACCAAAAACAGAGATACACCTGTACGACACGAGGCCATTCTCCTACAGGGGCCTACCTGGCCGAACAGTGACACAGACATATCCTTCTCCAAAGGCATTTTCACCGGAAACCGCTACCTTGAACGCATCAAGTCCTGCTGACAACTGCAACAGAAATAAAAGCTACACAGGTAAACGCTCAAAAGCCATAATGGGACCGTTGCCTCAAAAGTCCTAAGATACCGGAGCGCATGGGTGGCTCAGTCGGTTAAACGTCCGGCTCTTGACTTCGGCCCAAGTCATGATCATGGTTCGTGAGTTCAAGCCCCACGGTGGGCCCCGTGCTGACAGCTCAGAGCCTGCATGAGATTCTCTCTCCTTCTCTCTCTGCCCCTCCCCCCATTCGTGTCTTCTCTCTCTCTCTCTGTCAAAATAAATATACTTAAAAAAAAAAAAATCCTAAACTATCCGAGAAGCCATTCCTCCTGAAGTGAGCACAGCACAGGGGCTCAGGACACAGCCTCATCAGAGCCCTGCAGACATGGCCACAGGTGTGAAGCCTGTGCCCCGTCACACTGAAGAGGCCATCTGCCCCCCAGAAAGGCCTGCAGCTGAGCTACAGGTGTTCCCGGGCTGTACTGAGGCGTAAGTGAGGGGGGCTGGCTGAGGGGGGCAGTTCTTAAACTCGTGTGCAAGGGAATCACGCCTTTTTACTCGCTCTGGTGAGTCGGCCATCAGCAGCCTGGGGGCCACGCTCGGAGGAACCATGCCCAGTGACTCGAGGCCGACGTGAGCTTGCACAGCACCCACGGCCGTGCGGTCTCGCGAACAAGGACGAGATAATCACAGGTGGGAAACCAGATCCTCTAGCAGCTGAGGCAGTTCATTCATCCTTCCCGGCCAGGAAGGGGGCGCGTTTCCTCTCGTGAGGTGCTGACATCTTGGAGCAGTACATGATGGCCAAAGCATCCGTGTGTGGGAATCAAAGCGCTGGCAGTTCTAGAAACGTGGCTGCTCGCGGAGCAGAGATGACCAGAATGCCTCTACCTCTACCAAGAGAGGGAGACTTAGAACACAGGCTTTTTAACCTCAACAGAGATTCTGACATTTCACCATCTGCCCATCTACATGGTTGTGACTTGACTCATTTGTATCCTCCTTCTGATCTCAATCGTAAAACAGACTTCAGGGTTCAGCAGCTCAAGTGTGAACTGAATTCTGTGGCGTGCTGTCATATCCGGCCAGTCTCCAGTTACTTATTTGAGAGACATTAAGCATTTGCATGTGTCTTTCGTTTATTTCATCTCGGTAGTCTACCGGGTGGCTTAGCAAGCTCCATTCATAGCTGTACGTGGTCTCTGAGAGCAAAAAAGGAATACGAGTGAGTAGTCATAAATTCTGAAAAGTTACTATATACAATCTGGGCAGAGGAAAGGAGAGGACGGCCCTAATTCCAGCAGAAGAGATGCCGGACATATCCTGAAACCAGCTTTCAACTAAGAAACAGCAAGTTTCTCTATCTTTCTAATGGAAAATTTCTGTTTTAGTAGGGAAACACACAGCTTACGGAAAATTCATGAAATGTGGAAAGTCGAAAAAAAGAAAAAGGAAAAAAAAATCTCCCTGATCCCACAGTTAGCATTTGATGACTTTCCTTTCAGGGTGACTACAGATATATAGAAAGATAAATAGATACATAGATAGATAGATTTCAACACAGTATATAAACCACTGTACTTTTTCTCCTTTTAATAAAAGGCAAGGAGATTTCCATTTGTTTCATCCGCCACGGGGGTTTACTGAAGGACGCAGAAACAGATTAAACTCTTCTGTATAAAGATGAAGTTGTCTCCCACAGTGAGATGCTAGTTCAAGTACAAAGTATCTCAGTAACAGGATTAAAGGAAATGCCAAATATTATCATCTCTGTTGAAATTTTGACCCATATGTGATGGGGGCAGGGGACAGATGAAGGGACTAACCTGAATGAGAACATCCAACACCCTACGAACGAATATACCTTAAGAAAGAATGCCTTTGACAGGTCAGAGGGATGGCTCCCATGTTTGCTGAATAGTAGGGCATAGGACAAGCAGAAGAAAGGGCATTTTGAGAAACATTTTTGGAAGAGCTGGTGTGAGGCATCCTGAGTACCTCAGAGCCCCATTGCCCACACCGTAGTAGCTGAAAACAGCTTCGTGCCCCCTCCTGCCCCCTCTCCGCAGGGGGTTACCACAGGTCGGACTCTGGGATGTGGAAACCTCTCCTGCCCTAACACGTCTCTTGCTTTGCCTCTTCAGTAATGCATGGCTTTCCCTCTGGACCAATTAAGGGGCGTGTCCTATATGAGTTTCCCATACTCTTTCTCCATTTTAAACTACTTCAGTATGGTGTTTTTTATTTTTTAACATTTATTCAGTTTTGAGAGAGAAAGAGAGAGAGAGAGAGAGCATAAGCGGCAGGGGGGCAGAGAGAGTGGGAGACACAGAATCAGAAGCAGGCTCTAGGCTCTGAGCTGTCAGCACAGGGCCCGACGCGGGGACTGAACTCATGGACCACAAGATCATGAACCGAGCTGAAGTCAGACGCTTGACTGACTGAGCTACCCAGGCGCCCCTAAACTACTTCAGTTAAGATTCAATGCTTATGACCACCAAAGCCTCGCCACGACTCCCAAACCTTCAGTCGTGACCTCACACAGTGTTGTGAAAATGAATCCCTGCTGTAAAGTACCTGTAAAGACCAGTTAAGAGCAACCCAGCTAAGGGGCCCCTGGGGTCACACAGGAAAGTCAAACTCTCACCTGCGGGAGGCGCCGGCACAACAAAACCTTCAGTTCAACTTCATTTTCTGGTAAAGTTATTAGATTATCTCCAGTGGACACCAGTTGTTTCACTAAAAGTTGGTTAGAAATAGTACATTCCTTTATATATGATAGTGATGTTATATTACTTCCCTGCAACAGATTATTTCTTAGTAGCCACAAGATAAAATAACATATATTTTTCTAATAGTTCCTCCTGTGATTTATCGAAGACACTTTTTTCCTCTGGCTAGGAACTGAGCCATGACTCACATTCTGTTGTAGAACAGACTTCGTAAATTTTAAGCCATCTATGTGAGTTGACAAGGTGAAGAAAATAATGATTTGGATTGGGTGAGCACAGTGTTGGATAACAAGGTTGTACGGAACAGGTCGGGTACTGTGTGTAGAATCTATTTTCCTTCCTACCATCAAGCTCCTCTTACCTCCCTGGTATGTGCTGTTTTTATTAAAAAATGGAGTGTAATCATGAGTGTTTCTGTATCATTAGTCACACACCGCTCAGTTCTTCTGATAGCAGCCTCATGAATTGTCGCTAATGGCCTTGCTCTTGGAACCTTTCTAAGAGTAAACCCGGTCAACCTCCATATGAAAGAGCTATTTTAACTCAGGCAGCAGGAACATTCACTCTCATCAAAAGCGCTTACCCACTTGATGAGCACTCAGAACACTGTTCATTTACCGTCTCCATAACCAGCAGAACACTGATGTATTCAATTGGTGAGACGCCACTGGGTGTTAGTCTCGCTTGTAAAATACAACCGAGAGATGTCAGAAGGTCACAGGGAGTAAAGCGAAGATTTTTTTTTTTTTTTTAAAGCTGAGTGCTCTTTAGAGATCTTAGGTACGTGGAGGCGTTGGATGGGTGGCTCACTAAATCTGCTTCTCTTCTGTCTGTCAGTACCCAGTCCTTCCAGTACCTTCCTACACCAGCTGCAGGCACCTCCCAAGCTTCTCTGCAGATCTCTACTTACCCATCATTTCTACTGATTCTTTGCCCTGAAAGTCAAGCAACTGTGGACCCAGAGGGGACACTGGTCTAAACCTATCATGTTACAGATGCGGGAACTGAGCCCTAGAAAGGCAAAGTAATTACACTGCTCCAGGTTGTACAAATAATTAGTAAAAATAGAGCCACCAAAACTTAATTATTTTAAATGTATTTATTTCAACAAACACACAAAGCAGATCACACTGTACCAGGCACGGTCCCAGGGGCTTTAAAATGATCAATTCGTCTAACCTTCCAGCAGTTCCATGCAATAGTGCTATTAGAACCCACAGATCCGGGGCGCCTGGGTGGCTCAGTCAGTTAAGCACCCGACTTCAGCTCAGGTCACGATCTCACATTTCGTGAGTTTGAGCCTGTGTAGGGCTCTGTGCTGATAGCTCAGAGCCTGCAGCCTGCTTCAGATTCTGTGTCTCCCTCTCTCTCTGCCCCTCCCCTGCTTGTGCTCTGTCTCTCTCTCTCTCAAAAAAAAATAAACATTAAAAAAGAAAGAAAGAAAGAAAAAAAAAAAAAGAACCCACGGATCCTAATTCCCAGCTAGTGTCCTTTCCAATATACCACACAGCTTCTCTTCTGCCATTACCTTTCTGTCTACTGACGCCGAGGATCAAAGTAAGTGAACAGGCAGAGAGGGTCACCCCAGGGTACAGTGCCCACTGAATGGCCTAGGAAACAAGGTCTCTAACACCTTCCTTATTAGGGAATCTCATGGGAGCTTTTCAGCACTCGCCCTGATCCCTGCGGCCTCTGGCTCTTTCATGACCTCTTCCCACTTAGAAGTCTCTCTTTCCTTCCTGCTGTCCATGCCCTTCTCTTGACGTCCTGCTTCTCTGTAGGCTTCTTCTGTTCTTCCAACTCCTAAAGAAGGGAGGTCTCCAAAGCTCCTCACAGGCCTCTCCCTAGCTCACCCACCAGCCGCCCTGGAAGGTCAGATCTGGGCCCTAAGCCTGCAGTAGTCACCTCTATGTGAATGGCTGCTGGTGCCTCGTCTTCAACCGCTCATCAGTCTCAGGGTCCTGCTTCTTTCATCCTGCCAGTCAGCCATTCATCAAATCCCACTGACTCCAGCTGATAGCGCTCGAATCTGGTTTCTTCTCTTCACCCCTGCAATCACTCCCTCCGGTCCTCAGGGATCTTCTTGCCTCCAGTCAACTACTTTCTTGAAACAAATCTGATCATTTCATTTTCCTGCCTAAAGTCATTCAGAGATTCTCTCTACTTACCCAATGAAGCATAAATTCCTTAGCACAGATTACAGATCTTTCAAAATCTTGCCCTGCTCACCACTGTAGACTCACGCCTTGGTTCCCTCTCATTCACGTAAATCAGTTCCCGCCAGAACGGCCTCCTTACAACTCTCCCGAAGTGTCGCCTGAGCCCCCCTGAACCTCTGCTCTCTTCCACAGGCAATGAATGAGGTGATGGGCAGGAAATGCTAAGCATGGTTCCCAGCGCTCGGTTAAGTGCTCACTGAACAGTCATCGCTATTATTACACATGTCGCCACCTTGACCCGAACAACGCAGCGACCCCATTTTAGCCGGCTGGCTGTACCCTGGCGCTACCGCCTCTGGAGAGGCTTCCCGGCCCTTCTGAGAGGGCAGGCCGGGTGCCTCCCCTGCTCCCTCAGCTGCCTGTCACAGCACTTACCAGGTGATAGGAAAACCGTCCACCTCCCTGTCTGTCAGTCTCACTTCCTGCACTGTAGATCACAGAGGCAAAAGACAGCGTGTGTTCGTCTTTTCACGCCTGGTGTGTAAGCACCGTTTCTAGGACACACTCAACGATGCGCCTGGGGGGAACGAGTAAACTTGAAAGCTGTCACGACACTCCTACAGCACGTTTTTGTACTTTTCTTCCGGCTGTACTAGGAGCAGTACTGTTACCTGTCCTGGGAGCAGCGGTGGGAGACACAGGTGGCTCAGATGGGGTGGACGCCGGAGACAACGCTAGTGGGAAGGCTTGGGCTGCTATGCTCCACGCTCCATGGGGGGGCCAGAACCGGCCTCTTCTCTGTGGAGGCTGGGCTCAACTCCGGTCTGGCTGGAGGAGGATCACGGGAAGGCATTAGAATCTAGGAGATCAATTACAAAGACAAATTGCTATGAAAGAAAAAACAAAAATGGCTGACCTCGTCAAGCAATACAACGTCACTGACCTTTCTCACAAACTGGATTCAGTGGCATTGGAAAAACCATGTCTGATATCACACAACAGTAGAATTCTACACCATTTCTTTCAAATATGCTCTGATATCTATTAAAAATGAAAGAAAAAAGAAAACTGTGGGTTGGACAATTATTGTAAGTGAACATGCACATCCAAAATCACTCAAGATGAAAAGAGAAAAAACAACAAAAAAACCCTCCACAGCCCCCGAACTATTCAACAAGGCAGTAACTGAAGACAATCAGAACATTCTAAGACCAGGCTTCTAGAGTAAATGATCTCTAGTCATACCATTTATGTGCATAAACTGTAACTTAAAGTTACAGTTAAAGTTAGCCAACCTAAAGTTTTTAAATTAAACATTATGTGCCAGAGGGGAAAGTCTCGTAAAATGATATCAAAATTATCTTCTGAGCTTAAACTGCCAGTGACTATAGGGTCCAGGTAAGTAAAAGTCAGGCTAAGAACACCTCCCCAAGGGGGAGGTGCAGGGAGAAATCCACAGAAAGAAAAGCTGTAAGACCAATATAAACCAGGGAGGGGGCCTCAGGTATTTACTGAAATCACAAACTGGTGTCTATTCTGCAGTTAAGGAAAGTAAGGACAGAGACATTTTGTGACCGGGCACCAGATAAATGACTTCACTGCTGATATTAACTAACTACTAGATACTTTAGTTCATACAGTTCAGATATTACGAGGCAACTGGTAAACCCCTTCAACAACAAATTTCAGGAACCAAGGCTGAAAGAAGATGAAGCGTAAAATTTTAAATATATTGATCAGACCAAGACAAAATCAACTGACCAACATTTAAAAACTAGGTAGTGGGTTACAGGGAAGGAAAAAGTTCTCCCTCCTACTCTCCAACCTTTCTGCCTGATACCTCCACTCCCCATAACAAAAAGGCTGATTAACGGAGGAAAAACAAATTGAAGTCTGTGTGCCAGACGTATGCCCAGGTGCCCAAGAAAGAAAGGAGGTGCAAAGAAGGCAACAAAACAGGAGGTTTAATACATTTTAGGCAAAGAAACAATAGATTTGTGAACTGAAAGGACAAAGGGATTTGAACTTGGGGTAGTTAATGGTGAAGAAGTAATAACAAGGTATGTTTGTACAGGCTTCTCCAGCACGGTCTTCTCTCTCTAAATCCCCGTCTTTGGGGCTAAGGGTGCCCTCTCCCCTCCTGGCACAGGGAGGCTACCTTGCCCATGGCAGACTTCCGGCCTGCTTTCAGGGGACCACAGTGGGGGCGGTGTTCTTCTTGCACGGCACTTTCCCAGGTACCATCAATTCAAAATAATCAATATGCCAAAGTGCCATGTTGGATACTTTGAATCCCTACAGGGTCTAATTTTGAGATGCTCAGCTTGAAGTTTCAGGCATTGAGGTGTGGAAGGGAGTGCTGATATAGGAGGCTGGTCCTCACATCTGTGCTGACAGTAGTACGAAGTTCAGAATCCCTGCGACCAGAGCGCCAGCAGATGGCAGTGGGGCCTCCTACAAAGTCACTACCAAGTTGAAATAAAGAATGAAGTCTACAGACAGTGGTTGGAAACATTAAGGCACCTGTCAAAGGCTTCCCGGTAACCAGGGGCTGGCTGAGGGGGATTACAACTCCTCCCCTCCCTCCTGTCTACACAATCAGCTTTCCCATCATGCTGCCTCTCTGGGCTGTTAGAGCAAGCCGGTTTTTTGCTTTCACTCCCTGGCTCCCTCTCCATGACCTTCACAGAGAACTCCTGGCTAAGTTATTGGTACTCAGGTTCTCTCTGACACACCCCACCCAAAGAAAATGGATCCTCCAGGGAAGCAACGGACACCCCCACGCCCCCATTACAGCCTAGCCTGGACAACGGGATCCTTGAATGGCTCTTGTTTCTTTTTTTCTACCCTTAACTACTTTGAAACAACTTCTTTTAGGTGCATCTGTCTGGTCTTGCCCACTTGAAAACAAAACTGCAGAAAATGTCATTTATCCTCTACGAATTTAATCTTGACTTGTTTCGAATTTCTTGAATTTGTCCTATTCGGTCGCACTACTTGGTGAATAATGCTTCTATATACATTTGTGCACAAGTCTTTGCATGTACAAGTGTTTTGCTTCTCTTGGGTAATTACTTAGCAGTTCAAAGGGGGTTTGGGTCCTAAGGTTTGTAAGGCTCTGTTTATCTTTCTGAGGAACTGCTGGACTGTTTTAGAGTGCCTGTGCCATTTTACGTTCCTACCAGCAATGCCTGAGGGTTCTCATCTCCGTGTGTCCTTACTGACACTTGTTCCCTTTTTGTCTTATTCTAGCCACACTGGGTAAGTGGTATCCCAGTGTGGCTTTCATTTGCAGTTCCCTAAAGATCAATGGTCCTAAATTATTTAAACGAGGAGACCTTTTGACTGAAGATAGAGATGTTGGAGGTGGGGGGCCAGTTATGACAGGTTACCTTGAAAAACACCGAAAACAAAGGTAAGGTTGTTACACAGATTTCAGTCCCCTCCTTCTCCAAGGGTAAGAGTTTCTACTGACTTGGAATCATTCTCTTCCTGGTTCAGAGGAAGAGACACTTAACAAATGGAGATTTCCCTTATAAATGTAAATTTCCCTTACAAAAGGGACTACAGATAAATTCTACTGTTTTTAGAGCTTCTCTCCTTAGTGCTTTCTCTCAAAAATAATCAGTTCAAATAATCCTTATACCAAAGAGACATATTTGGGGTCACATATTCTGATACCCTTCAATCTATTTTGAGTTAATTTATGTAGCTTAAGGTAGGGGTCTCAATTTCGTTTTCACCCAGTACCATTTGTTGACAAGACTATTCTTTTCCCCATGGAAAAAGAATTATTTTCTTGGCGCCTGTATTAAATACAATTGTACTATTTATAATACGTTTTTGGTGAGGGAAGAAATCTTTGGTTTTGCCATTAATTCCAAACTCTGTACTTCGGCAGAGTAAAATTATTTATGTCTTATGCTGCAGAAATAATGTTTATCAACACTAATTCAAGGATTATCTATGACTCAGTTCAGTTCAAAAACACATAATGTGACAGTAGGGCAAAATCTGTATTTCAGTGGAAAATAAAACACTGTCTAAAGGATCTCTTGGTTATCTAATTCTAGTCTTTCTTGTATTTCAGCTATTTGACAACTCTATCAGTTGGAGGTGACTTATAACAATGCAAAATAACTTATTTATAGACAGATGTTCCCCTATAGGAACCAGTCTGGCCTCCAGTTGCACATTGATTTCAATGTTCTTCACGTATGTTCTTCAGATTCTCTTGTAAAACAATACAACATTGATTAATGACTAGGATAAAAGCTAATGCATGTTCATTTTATATCTGTATAATTCATGACTGTACCTTTCTTTCATAATTATCTTTTAACATAACCAACTTCAAAGAACTAATGAGCCATGTTTAATACACACTTCCATCCATAGAAGCTATAAAATCAAAGACTTAGCAACATAAAAGAAAGTAAACTGTGTTAATATTTAGTGATAGAAGAACATGGTTAATCTTTGGTAATTTCAGATTATTTTTCAATTGGAAGCTTTTAACATTTTAAGACAATTACAAGTTTAGAAAAATCTAGAAACCTTGAAAAGTAATAGCAGGCAATGCAATCACTTGCACTAAGCCCCACATCAGCAAAACAAGACTTAATACCTAACCTACCTGCAGTTACAACCCTCCCAGGAATGTAGTCTTAACCCATCAGTCTGGAATGTTCTGGTCAACACCAATAGGTAAGCTGCCTGTCCACCACTGGTAAGTTACCTTAGCGTGTAACAACCCATTCTTTTCCCCCTTCTACCTCCAAAAGACTTCCTTCTTGTACAGCTCCTCAGAGCTCCTTTCTATTGCCGGATAGGGTGCTGCCCGATTCATGAATCGTTCGATAAGGTCAGTTAGATCTCAGAAACTTCCTCAGTTGAATTGTCGTAATTTAGCAGATTTGGCCCAGGAACGGAGGGCTCTGAACTGCACTTCTGAAGGCGTTCAGGGACGACGAGAAACACAGGCGTGGCACCTGTGAACCCCTTTCTGAGTTGTCTTTCTTGCCTTTCCCAAGGGCCCTGCGTAAGTTCCTCCCAGTTCTGGGCTCTGCCCTCCTTGCCCTGAGCTCCTGATCTCACTTGCTTTCCAAAGTTCCCCGTTTGTCTGAAATCACTCACTCCACATGGGGGAACTGCCAGCAGTGTGGACACAATCCCCCAGGTGACTGGAAACCCCGGTCCTCAGCTCTGTCCCCACAGTCCACGTCGGGCGCTGCCGCTGGCAGCTGGAGCCCCCGTTTGTTGGGGTCCTGCTGAGTCAACCCCTTCCCCGGCCCAGACTCCACGCTGGGAAACGTTGGAGGTGCGCACAGGACTTCTCTCGGCCAGGACACGGTAACAGCACTCGGTGACTGCACGTTCGTTATTCGGGGGCACAGGCTTGCTTGTCGTGTCAGATGAAGGCTGGCGGAAAGACAAGGGCTCTCTGCATTCTGAAGAGTTAGGCACGTGACCTCTGGCGCACCTGCTTATTTTGCGTCTAAAGGATGGCAGTCCCGGGAGCTAAAGCCATCTCTACAAACGGCAACATCTTACTAAAACCACCTAGAATCGCAGTGGCTGTTACGAGGAACGTTCCAGTGAGAGAAGATCACTTAAGAAGTGCACTTGGCAGCAAGGATTCCCAAATGAAGCAAACAGGCTGGGATACGTTTTTTAATCGGCAGGCAGAAGCCTCCACAAAGCTTCAAAGTTCCCAAATAGCTTCATTCAAAGATTCACTGTGAAAGCTTATTACAAAATTAAGGAAGTAATTTTTACTGCTTCCCTCTACCCTCCTTTAAATCCTCTTTCTAGTAGTCTTATGTCTGCATTGCCTTTACAGGATTGTAAACAAAAGTCAGCCAAGTTAATGACCGTACAGACACCTTGATTGGCCAAACTGCCAAAGGTGAATACAAAAATTAGGGACATAAAAGGTACCTACAACAAAGACTGTAAGACTGACGGATGTGACCGCCCACAGCTCCCCTCCACCCTCCTTGGTCCGATACCCATTCCGGGGATCCTCTGTCCGGCCTGCCCTTCCACTTGAAGAGACAGTCAACTTCCAAACTAACACCACCAATGTCACAGCATCCTCTCCCGATATCTTCCTCTCCTAGTTCAAAGGCTGATCCAGACATCATAGTTAAAGAATTTCCTAAGTCCAAGGAAGATCCTCAAAAGTTTTTAATACACAGATAACCTCTTGAGGTTAATGGATTAATAAAAAGGCAGAAAACAGGATAGGAGGCCACCATTCATGATCATAGCTGAGGACTCGGAAAAGACTTAGAACCAAGCCTGTAAATGGTCGGCCAACTTGATGGCCTTATAGACACCCCCATATTTACCTCCCAAGGAAGGCCTCTGCTCGGGTCCTTCCCAGTGTTGACAAGACTATGAAGGATTTTCGGGTGAACTGCTATGAGTCCCTTAAAACAGCCAAAGGGAAACTAAAATTAAAATTAATTTTTAAAAAACCTTGCCAAATTTTGGTAAATCCCCCAGCTACACTCTCCACTTTAAACTCCACTCAGGACCTACAGGTGGGATCCTAGAAAAACAAGGACCCGGCTAACGGTAAGATTTGTACCACAGTCAGCTCCCCCAGATCTCTGCCTGTGGTGCCCCAGAGAAAAATCAAAATAAACTATCTTTTGCACTGTCTCTGGGAATGCCTCTTCAGTCCAAGGGGTCATCCAATACTCCCAGAAATATTTGTTTGTCCTGACCAAAAACTTCGTGGAGGAACTAACATTCCTTCCCTGTCCCTCTGAAAATCAAATGTTCTATAAACTTCAGTGAGGGAATTATAGAAAAACAAAAAGGGTAATGAAAAATCAAATATTGGCAGAAAAAGTTTTAGCTGTCTGAGCAGATAAACTTAACTTATTCCAACGGATTTTTCATTGGCCTAAATTTTAAATAACCTTTCCCCCTTCTGATCTTTTACGGTAAATGAGTTTACATTATGATATCTGTCTCGGGACTATTTTTTTTTTAATTTACTTATTTACATACTTACTGATTTATTTATAGGCTCCCTACCCAGTGTGGGGCTTGAACTCACTACCCTGAGATCAGGAGTCATCTGCTCTATTGACTGAGCCAGCAGGTGCCCCATCATGGCTAAAGTTTTAAAACAAACATATGAAGTCTCTGTTTTCATCTGTCTCAGTGTTCATGTAGTGTCATAGATGTGTGTTATTTTCTACCTCTGGATGGCAATATCAAAATTTGTAATAGAGTTCTATTTAATTGGCTTAAACATATAAACACTTATAGAAACTAAATTCTCAAAATGTAATAGGAAATAACCCAAATGCTTTTCAGGTTCATGTGATCTAAGTATTATATGATATAAAAGCTAGTTTATGTTTGCCGGTTGATTGAAAATAGGCATGTCTCCAGAGTTAACAGCATTGCAATTCCTTCTGGGTTTAGTAATCAGCTAAGTCTGTGATGTCTTTGTTACAAACTCTGTCACCTAGAAAAATAACCCAGGATGATGACCGAAGTTGTCTAACATCTAATGAAGTGTTTGTAGTTAATCTAAACATAGTTGTTAACAATAAGTAAATTAAACGGATGTAAGTAAGATAAAAAGGTTTTAGGTACATTTCTGAAACTGTCTCCAAATTTTTTTGTAACCTAAAACCTTAAAGTTTCACTAAGTTAAATTTGACTATACAGATCATTTCCTAATAAGATAAAAACACTGAAACATTATTACATACAGGTTTATGCACTTTTTCTTCCTTTTGTGGAGGATTAAAGCTATTTTAGTCTAGTACTAAACACGTTTTATCCCACACTGAGAAATTTTCCGTGAAAAACCACGTTTCTAGAAATTATAAAGCAAAGATGCTAATGTAAAAGGTAGTTCATTATTGCATATTTCTTAATTTTCATGAAAAATTAAAAGAGGTTAAGGGTTAAAAATCTAATATATGTGATTAAAACTACCGGAAATAATAGGGAAAGGAGTTTTAGGTGTGATCAGGACTAAGATTGGAATGAATTTAATTAATGAGTTTTACTTTCATAACTAAAATTAGTACAAAACTGGAATTCGGTTTTCTCTTTGTTAAAAGGACCAAGTTTTCGTGGACAACTGGCCTGCTCTTGTTAAGAGATTATGGAAGGTTTTTCTTTACCTTTTTCAGTCATCTGCCCAGAAGAAAGAAAGATTTTGTTTCTTGTCAAAGCAATTTCCTGTGGTTCATGATCAGGTCTTTTGTTACCTAAGAAAGCTATATCTTCTCTGTTAAAAGAGCTAAGTTTAGGGGCTCCTGGGTGGGTCAGTGCGTTAAGCGCCAACTTCGGCTCAGGTCGTATCTCACAATTCCGTGGGTCCGAGCCCTGCATCGGGCTCTGTGCTGACAGCTCAAAGCCTGGAGCCTGAAGCCTGCTTTGGATTCTGTGTCTCCCGCTGTCTCTGCCCCTCCCTCGCTCACACTCTGTGTGTCTCTTTCAAAAACAAATAAACCTTAAAATAATTTTTTTTTAAAGGCTAAGTTTTTTTTTTTAAGTTTCTATTTTTGCCTATGAAACCTTTACTTGTTACTATGGTAATTGGATAACTAAGTATTACTTCATTTAGAATTTGACTAAGTGTTCTAAAACCTTTTGATATTTTTTGACAACCTTCCAAAAATCAAATTCTAAATGAAGTCCTTTTGACCTCAAATTAACATTTGGATTTTTCCAGAGCATCCTTGGAAAAATCACACCAAAAAAGTATTCTCCCTCCTTATACAAGAGAGCTGTTAAACTAATTAGGCTTATTTGATATATTAAATTACAAGTAGTGTCAAATAGTAAGTAATACTAAGCTTTCTTTATTATATTTATATAACTGTTCTGGAAATTTTATGAAATCCCAAAGTCTGATATATCTTTTTTTGGTTTTGTTGTTTTAGAGAAAGAGAGAGTGAGCAGAGTACAGGGACAGAGGGAGAGAAAGAGAGAGAATCCTAAGCAGGCTCCACGCTCAGTGCAGAGTCCAACTCGGGGCTCGGTCCCACAACCCTGGGATCCAGAATCAGACGCTCATCCAACTGAGCCACCCAGGTACCCCCAGTCTGATGTATCTTGGTATAATGTTATCAGTCATAAATTAGCTATTATCTTAAAATGTATGTCACAGAAGAAAACAAATTTCCTTGTCAATTCCATTATAAGGAACTCAATCAGATCTCTTAATTACTTTTCAAAAAGGCTTTTCTAAGTTATTTATGACAACTATCGTTCTGATACTTTTGTTTTTCTAGTTAAGACAATGATTTTATTGCTCGAGTACAAAGACAGATTTATACAACCAGGGCAGAGGCTGAGGCTAACTCGTATTTCTAACTAGGGGAGAGGACTCTTTTGGTCTTATAATACTGAAGCAACAAGTGACTACGGCTCTCGATCAGAATCGGTCGTAACTTAGCATCCTTATCCTTTCTCTTCCTCTCAAGATGCTTTCAAACAGCAACAGCTTTCTTAATCAAATGGTGGAGATCCTCAAGAAGATCAGGAGCAAGTCCTTTAAGAATTCTCAAGATTTTATTGTCACAGAACGTACTCGAGTCTCTCTGGGTCACACCTACTTGTGAGGGAGTCAGGCCCTACTTGCCCACTTTGTGGAGCTGCTCCTTCATGGAGTCAGATGTCAACTTCAACCAGGCAGGGGCGCCGCAGTGGTAAGGCAGTAGAGACTGGGACACGCCCTTCCCAGGAGTGAGGACGAGACCCATGATGGTGGCAGTCAGGCAGCGAAAAAGTGATCTTTTGTAAAGGTGTTCCTGCCAAAGTATTTCATCTTGAAGCAGAGTCAAGGAAAGGACTTTGGACAAGCAGAGGTTTCCAACAACCAAAGTTAAAATACTGTAAAGCAGAACTGGTAAGAATTTCCAGAACTGATGGAAAAACCGGATTCAAGCAGAACAAGAATTAATTACATGGAACTGAATGAGCTGAGGAGGATGATTATGATTTTTAGGACTTCTTGTTTGAAACAGTGCTGTCTTTCCAGAATCAAAGAAACCTGTTCTTTGAAGCTACCTATGTGTCTCTTCACCTACAGAATATATACGGTTTTGTGACTGCTACATTCCATTTGACTGATGACAGACCTCACTGAAAGAGTCACCTTTTTAAGCCAAGTGGCTTGCCCAGTGATCTTATGTGAGTTTCAGCACAGACCCCTCCTTGTTCAGCTAAAAGATAATCCAGGCCTCTCCTATTATCACACATTAACTTTGGCCACAAAGTCTAGCCGTTTTTGCCAGGCAGGCATTGTTCCCAGCAGCAGACTCTGGAGCGTGTTCAAGGGATGTTCTGGGTCATAGCCCCATCTGCACTTTTTCCGGCCAAGGAAACAGTGATCTACCAACAGAAGCTAATTCTGAACTCTGAATGCCTCCCGGTCAGCCTTTTTATGTCGATGATATAAACTCAGGGACGTTGAGCCATGAGGTGTCTCAGTCTGTCTGTGAATAGTCAGGGGCAACGGGAGATTATCCTAGGGGGTGTTGTTTGGTTACGCCAACTACCCAAGCATTCATGGGCCTAAGGACAGTGAAAACTGCTCCAGACAAAGACAAACTGTGAGGGCACGGACCATTCCTGCTGAGGCGGTTCTGTGAACAGACTCATTCACCGGGATTGTTACATTTCCCTGTTCAAGCCAGCGGTCAGCCTGGGTTTCAGTGCCTTCAGCCTGAAAGAAAACGTTCTAAGGTTGAGGTTACCCCCGTTAGCAGTGGCCGGGGACACACACATGATGGCGTTGTTTTCTGGACCAGTGTCAGAGTACAGGACAGAAAGACAGGAAGAGAGGGTTTCGTTTTAAAATATGAAATATCGATCTGGCCTCTTGGGAGGAAGCAGTCTACCTCGCGTCCACCGCTTCTCTTCCTCGTCAAGTCGGTTCAGAGGCTTCAGAGCCTGTACAGAACCAGATGTCAGGGGCGGCCTTCTTCAGCTGTGACACATGTATCCAAAGTGCAAGTCCCTGAACTTCAGTGAGGATGACCTGGTACAGGACCTTTACAGGAGATTCAAGGGTGGTCTTTGTTCTCAGTGGTCCCAAATCAAGGTGGGAGAAAACTGGAAATGGCAGTTTGGTGAGTCCTAGCCAGATATTTGAGGA